AAAGAACATTTCAAGATAGTTTTCTAATGTGAGTTATCAAGTGGAACTGTTGAAATTCACCTCATCCCCATGGACCCCGTAGCGTTGACTCTCAAGGTAGAGCAAAAGGTAGCGCTTACCGGACTAGCAGGGTTAGCTAGGTAGTTAGTACTATTAGAGCTGATCCTGTAAAATACAGGTTATCAGCCGTAGGCTAGCTAGATTAGAGCTATGGACCCAATGGATGACGACGTCCCACCGAATGCCTACGGAAGTGGCTTTGACATAGTTCCGAGTGTGCCCAATAGTTTGGATGCAGTTCAACGGCATGAACAGGCAGTTGCACAAGTGGCTGCAATGGATCCAAGGGTTGCTTCGGAGGTGTACCAAGAGATGCTAAATAGTGGTGGTAGTGTTACTCTTCAAGAGGCGGCACAAGCTACCCTAGCAGGTATGCCGTCAGCCACCGTAGCTGGTGCGCCAACAGTAAACAACTTGTTGGCAATGACTCGGCTCAACGTCGTCAACCTGAACGCATCACCAAACGACGAAGAACTACGACGGGAGTTACAACAACATGAGTTTTTGCTCAGCGAACAAGCCAGGAGGGAAGCTGAAATCGAGGCATTGCGCTTCAGGAGTATTTACGAAAGAGAAGCTTCCGAATCTATAGCTGCAACAAAGGCTGCCGCAGAGCAGGCAATGTTGAATGTTCAACAAAGGGCCCAACAGCAGGAACAAAGTGTTCAGCAAATGGTCCAACAGCAAGACAATGTTGCAATCAAACGGTTGCAAGGTACATTGGAGGAGCAAAGGGAACATTTTCAGCAGCGGCTAGCTCAGGCGACAGCAGCTCATGAGAAAGTTGTACAGGAAAAGAATGCCATGGCGGAAGAAGGCAACGCTTTTGTTGACAAAATGAGAACTGAACATCACCAGTATGTTGAGCAACAGGAGGCTAAGCTGAAGGCAGCCGTAGAGGCAAAGGATCAGGCAAGACATTCGTCTGCTGAAGAATCCCGGATCGCTATAGAACTTGACTTCAAGCGAGAACAACTGGACAGTTCGTTGGCAATTGCACAGGCAAAGATCAAAACCCTTGTTAATGAAATGGAGGCTACAAATAAGCAACATAGAGTTGATCGGGAAACACAAGAGCAAACTATAGTTGAGCTTCGCAAGGACAATGCAATGTTGAAGGGTGAAATGGATGAGCTCAGGCGTGTCGTACAGTCCTTGACAGACAGGGAAGAGGAACGCAAGGAAGCGGAGCGCAAAGCGCAATCCTCTAGCCCCGTTAAGCCAGGGCCGCAATACCCTGAGCCATTCACACCTCCTGCTCGACAAGATGCTCACCCAATTGGTCAACCGCAATCTTTTGAACCTCTACGCACGGAAGGCACTGTTCCAGCAACCTTAGACGGTAAGCCCCTTGATAAAGGTGGATCTCCTATAAAGACAGCTATGGATGCAACAGCGTCCGTGCGCAACACAGGATTCCCATCAATGTTCTCAGGGACAGGGGCGCCCGCAGCGGAACAGGCAACGGCCTCTACAGACAGGCAACAATTCAAACAACCGGATCCGTGGACGGAGTACATGAAGAAGTCAGCGCAATATAACTTCAGTGATGATCCTTTGTACAAAAGCTCCTTTAATCAGGAAGCAACAAAGACTAAGGATGATCGCAAGGACGAAGGGCCGGCTTCTCAGGTAAGAACTCCACAAGACCAAGATTTGGGGGAAATCATCAAGAAGGCCTTGCTAGAAGGGTTTAAGGGCGCTAAAAGCAAAGACTCCGACAAGCCCAAGGCAAAGGAGGCTGACAAGATAGATCTCCCTGAATTCCCAAGTCCTGACAGGTACCGCACTTGGAGGGCCGCGGTTCGCGAAGCGATACGGTCCGCGTCCGATGACCCAGACGCTGCGTTCGCATGGGTGCTTGAGGTGTACGCCGTTCGTGAAGACAAAGCCAAGCTTTGTTCCGAATTGGCTGACCCAGGCAAGTTTCGGACCTTAGACACGAAACTACTTGCTGCTTTAACTAAGGTTGCCAAAGGTGAACTGTCTCAGCAGATCCTTAATTATAAGGAATCTGAGGCACAGCAAGGTAGGATCGTCCGTGGTCGTCAGGTGTTGCTCATGTTTGAAGTCCACTTCAAGACCAGTGAAGAAGCGGGTGCACTGTATGGCACTGAGGACCTCCTCAAGATCTCGCTTGATAGCGACGACTTGAAATCCTTTCTAAGAAAATGGGAGAGTGTTCTGACCGGAATGAGTCATGTCCCAGACCCGGCAACTCTCAAGGATCTGTTTTATAGAGAGGTTAGGAAGTCCCGCAAGCTCAGATTTGACCTTGATGTTTATGAACGAGCGCCGGAGGGAAGTAACGACAGAAGCTATGAATTTCTTATCAATTCTGTTCGACGTTACCTTGACAGGGAAAGGCTCAGGACCAATCGCGAAAAGATATCACAATCACACGCGGCAAAGTTCGCAAACCCGGCACCGCACGACAAGCGCACGCGAAGCCCAAGTTATGGCAAACGAAGCACAAAGGGTGACGGAAGCAATCAATGCTATGAGTATGCCAAAACTGGTAAGTGTAAGTACGGGAGCAAATGCAAGTACTCACACGACTCTAGCGCCCGTCCCCGCTCCCTTAGTCGGGAGTCGTCTCGTTCGCGTAGCGCAAGTCCGAGCAGCCGTTCATCGTTCAGGTCAAGCCGATCTCGAAGTTCGTCAAGACACACTTCCCGCTCCAGTTCAAGGAACTCATCAAGAAGCTCAAGTAGAGGGAGGAAATCTGACAAGCCATGCAGGTTCTTTGCAAAGGGTAACTGCAAAAGGGGTGACAAATGCCCGTTTAAACACAGAGACACTGCAACACCAGCCCCGCGCAGAAGGAGTCCCTCGCCCGCAGCTAAAAGGTCTAAGGACAAGAAATCCAAGAAGGACAAAAGGGACAAAAAGAGCAAACGGGAAAAGAAGGACAAAAGTCCAAAGGCCAGTCCATGTATTCAAACAGGTTTCGCAATGTCTTGCTTAGCAGTAACCGCAACTCGGACCCAAAAGAGTAAAGACTACTGGGAATTCTCCAAAGATGGCAATGAGTTGATTAGGCACCATTTGAAGCCTAGGCACAGGTCGTTTCTCCCAACACGTAAATCCTGTCCAGTTGAGTCATCTAGGTTGGAAGACCAGTTTACCATGGTAGTCACTGACTCAAAGGGAAAGAGTAGGACAATCAAGGGTAATTGGAAGAAACACCCAAACGCGAAACAGAAATTTGATTGGACTGGAAAGTCAATTTTCCGTGTTGTGCAAGAGAAGAGAATTCGTTTTGAATTAGAACCGGAGGTACACACCTTTCCTGTTTGGAAGGAAATGTACCGGCATGTAGTGAATAAGAGCAAGAAGCGGAACCTGTTCCGGACCACTGAGGAATGCCCAAAGTCCCGCGAGTGTGACACTAAGGACGCCATTTTGGCAGCGGAGTCACTTAGGCAGATGCTCGTTTCGATGGATACTGAGGAGCCTGCGTGTGATTTCCTTTGTGAACATTCCCCAGAAGGCCCCGATGATTTGTGCTGCACGAAGTGCAGAACAGTCGTCGGAGAACAGGTGCCGTCATGTGCTCGCTTAACAGCGATGCCAAATATGGTTGGTATGGAGAAGTGGCTGGGTGACACTGGCACTGACCAGGACATCGTAGGTAAGGACTCTAAGACAGTCAACAGGGCCACCAAGATATTCAAATCCAACGAACCAATCTCCCTTACTACTGCCAATGGACCTATCACTGCTGACGAAGTAGTAGAGGTGATCTTGCCAGGGTTATGTGAATCCTTCAACCCCTACATTCTCCAAAGTACTCCCTCTGCACTTTCAATTGGCTTGAGGTGCTTAGAACAGGGATATGATTTTGTTTGGGGAAAGGACACTACTCCCATATTTCTTCGACCTGATGGACAATGCGTTAAATTCAAATTGCAAGGTAGGGTTCCATATATTGATGAAACATGTACCCCATTCTCAATTCCTGAATCACTGAGGACTCGCCTTACTAAGGTACTCGATTCCATTCACCAGTTCACCATCGACCAGGGCTACGCCATGGCCAGCCATGAGTCCGAACCCGAGGAAGACCAAGAGGAGGCTGACGAAGCTGGCGTAGATGCCAATGCCGATGATGGACAGGAGGACGAAGAGGACAGTGACCCAGAAGTTGAGGTTCCTTTTGATTTTGAAGACGTTCCCGTAGCAGGGGAGAAGACCGAAGAGCAACTTCGAAAGGAAGCAAAATCAGGGGCGCATCAATTCACACATCGACCAAAGAATCCCTACTGCGATGTTTGTAGCGAAGCTAAAATGCTTGCTCCCTACGGTAGAAGCGTAGGCGGATCACAACATGTTTTGGCGCGTGGGTTTGGCGACCACATAGTGTGCGACCATGTTATTCCCAAAGATATTGAAGAAGGCATAGAAGGCCAAACGTCAATGTTGGTGATCAAAGATATTTATACTCAATACAGATGTGTTTACCCTTCTGAAAACAAGACTGCCGATTCTATTGTTAAGGCTTTCAAACATTTTCTGAAGACTTCTGATATTGTTGGTATAGTGTACACCGACAATGCTCCAGAAATGCTGGATGCCATAGAAGAACTTGGTTTCAAACACCAGACTTCTGTTGAATATCAACATTCCACCAAAGCGGTTGTTGAGCGTGAAGTCCGCA